CAGCAGGAACACCTGTTCCCACTGCCCCTGTCAGAGCCTGTGAATGCCTCTGCATTCTTTTAATCATCTTTGGTCTTCAACCTGAACTGCTTCTCTGTCCTTGAGCCTGAAGGCTCAGGTTGCCGAGAGTACACAGGCTTGACAGTTAAAACCACGGCCGCTCCTTCAGCTGCCTTGAATCCCGATTGTCACTGTGCCTCTCACAAGATTAAGTCCAGCATGCAACTTCATATTTATTTACACATTATGCAGGGGAAATAAGTTAATCTCCTAGAAACCCCCAGGATCTGACACATGCTCTCCCAATTTTCTCATAAGGAAGAGATAAATGATTAGTTACTGCTGGAGCCTGCAGGTTAGACCAGGCAGTTGACAGCTGCTGTGAGACTGCAGTGCTTCTGGCACCACTTAACCAGCAGCTTGGGTCCAGCAACAGTTTAAGGCCACAGCTAAGCCTACTTCAGTCAGTAGAAAGGAAGCCAGGATACTGAATTTAACTTGTCAATGGTTACCACCTTAGTTTTAAAAAGCTTCCAGCCTTTCATATTGCTGTGCTTAAGCTTTATTGTTCATCAAAACCAGCAGTTACTATAACAAACAGTAATGTAAACTGCTAAAATTACAGCCTAGATTTTTAATGACTTCTTTTTGTCCTCCTTTCCCTGGAAAGCTCAAATTGCATCAAACCTGATGGGCTCCTGGAGTTCACACAGAAGCTAGAAGGCTACATTCAGCAGAGAGGGGGACAGATTCAATTCACACACCTCCGCCTCTTCCAAAATTGGCTGGACCAGGATGCTGAAACAGCTCAAGAAGCACTTCGGCGCCTCAAAGCTGTGTGCAGCGTGGTCAACGACTCATGGGACTCCTCCCAGGCCTTTGCTGACTACATCAGTGTCATGTGATGGTGTCGCAGGACAGATGGACACAGGAGTGGGAGAAAACTGAACAGTCTGAACTAAGCAGTTCAGTCCCTGGCTGAGTAGCTTGCTGTTTATTTGCAGTCATGTTGCCCCCTCCAACATCTGCAGTCATTTTACAGAGGTTTGGAGTAGTTTGTTCTTTTGTAATGTTTTTATAACAAAAATATAACTAAGACACATAATGTACTGAAGTGTGATTTCGATTACTGGTTTGTAATGTGATCGAATTAAAACACTCTGCTAGATCAGGGGATCCTGCCCATAAAAAAGCAAGTGGTTTTAGAAATCGAGTTACCTGAATACTGCGTGCATGATCATTCAGGCCAAGTGTTCAACACACAAGCTGAAATTGTTTCCCCTTGTACAAGTCCTCTTGTTCCTGAGTAATAAGCAAGGTTCACATTTCACAACAGGAATGGATCCTGCAAGTTTCTGATCAGCAGCTCTAAGCCATAGCTGTCAAGGAAAAAAGCATGACTGCATATCAAGTACTATAAAAACTCCAGGCTTAAACCTGAAGAAAAAACTTAGCTGAGTAGAAGGCACAGACACCAACAGTTTGAGAACCAGTGCTGAACCTGATGAAGTGCACAGGGTCCAGTTATTCCCAGTTCCCAAAGAGCTGTTTCTCAGGCACACAATACCACAGCAGAGAAAAGCCACTGACTCCTTGCTGTCACAGTAGACAGCAATGCTGAGGGTCTTCCAGCCTCATAGAAACCACGCCATTCTGCTACACAACAGTCTAGCATGTACTGCTACCTGCTGCCCCTTTCCTTGAAAGGGATTAAAGTGGGGTGGACTGCCACAGCAGCCTGCCCTTGCCCCCACAGGGGACAGTAACCTCCTGTTAAGGGATCCCTCGCTGCTCCTCATGGGAGTGATGATGAAAAGTGAACGTGACAGCAGCATCCCAAGCAGCCTTCAGCACAGAGTCCTGCAGCCCCCGCTTGTCGGCACAGTGGTGCCACTGGGAGAGGTCAGATGTGCAGTCAGACCCTTCAGGAGGGGGCCGGACCTGGTGGCCGTTCACACAGCGACGACACTTGATCCTGGAACAGAGTCAGTGCAAGATCAGTGCAAGGTTCCTCCACTTCAGTACAGAGGTTGTTTTAAAATGCAACCCAGTAACATTGGGATTGACTTCCCTCCACCTGCAACGCTGGCAACTGGATTTTCAGACAGGATTAATTGCTACCACATTTCATTTAAGCACCACCACGTGACAGATAAGAAATGACACACATTTTGAAAACCCTAGGGTTGTTTTTTATAGCACACCCCCACCATGTGTAGCCATGATGAGGGATGTTGCTTAGAGCAGATCTCAAGTGAACATCCCTGCTACTAACACCTTCTTAACACTGTGCCAGCTTTCCCCCGTGCAAGAGCACACCATGCCCCAAAACGCTCCATCCTGGCTCCCACCTCAGCCACAGGTTGTGCTCAGGCTGTTTTGGAGATGCTCTACTGAGCTGCCACGTAAGGAGACAGAGTAGCAGCAGCTGTTGCCATGCAGACAAGATACCCCCACAGAGCTAAGCTTTGAGTCAACTTAAAACTAATCCTCTTCACTTCTTGCTTGATCTAAGAGTCTTAACTTCTGCAGTGAAGCATTTTCCTGACTCCCTGTCCTCTTTCTGGTGGCTACAATATCACAGGTCTCAGGGGTGGGCAAAAAGGGCAGAGGAAGAAGGGGATCCTTTTAGTCCCCAGAACAGCACTTCGGTTAGCCTCATGAATTCATAGCAGATTGAGTAGCCCTGACAGTAGAAGCAATTCAGCATTTGGAAATCACAATCCACCAGGAAGAGAGCAGCAAGGAAGGACCACATTGCACTCCACTGATCTGAACAGCTCTGATCATGTCCTCTCTTTTCATTCGTGCACCATTTCACAGCCTCCAAACAGAGGCGGCAACAAAGTAGTTTGCTCACTTGTCTAGCCAGCACAGCTTTTCTAAGACCACAGGAAGGGAGGACAGCAAGGGGGTGCTCATGCCCAGGTAGGTAACAGCTTCGGAAGCAGAGACACTAGAGGCCCTCTGTCTCTGAGCTTTCTCCTGCTCCCTGAGGAACACCTGAATCACTGACCAAACTGAGGAGGGGTGGTGTTTTTTTTCTGACCCCAGTCATTAGTTATTCAGTATACTCACTTGTCATGGGTGTCACTGGTGGTGGACTCATTCAACGTGAAGAGCTCCTTCAGCTCCCCAAGTGAGAAGTGCCTTTCTACGTCCTGCTCCTCATCCACCACACAGCTGCTGAGGGCCTTCTTGTGGGTTTGGCGCTGGAATATCTTCTCCTCTATGGTCCCCGTCTACAGGAGAGAGAGTCAAAGATGAAGCACAGTTGGGACACTAGCGTTAAAGGAACACTACACTGGGAAAATATCCCAGATCAAACAGCAGTAAGCTGTCAGGACCATTTAGTGCCTTGCCAGACTAGTCCAGGTGACAGGCAAGTTTTACTAGCTGCACTCTAACCACATCTCATGAGGTTACAGGAGTTACTCAACAGAACTGTGGATGAAGAAGAGGTGAAGCTGCCACTGTGGCTGGAGCTCACACTGCACTGCGTTGTACAGGCAGGAATGAAGGGAAAGAAGCTGAGCAGTTACAGCCAGTCCTGACAAAATCTAAAACCAAAACAAATACAACTCCCTCAAAACACAAGGGCTTGCCCCATTTGAGAGGAGCATCAGCAGTATTTACTGGTTCATCCTTGCTGTCTGGAGGGAGATGACTGCTTCTAGAACAGTTGTACAGAAAGCCCAGTACACTATATTTTTAAAACAAAAATCTAAGAGCAAAATGTCTGTTTTGCAAACAAATGTAATACAAAGGAGGGGGTTATTAGTCATGATTTGCAGACCAGTTTCCTATTTCTAAAAGCAAAGGAGCAACCTGCTTCCAGGTACAGCCAGGTCAGAGGAAAAAAAAAAAAAAAAAAAAAGTAAAAATGAAGAGACAAAGAATATCTGTTTTGTCAAAATAAATTAATAATTGATCAAGAAACACAAGCTTACAAAATAAACAAAAAACTAACCAAAACAAAAAACCAGAGTCTGAACTAATGAGAGGTGAACGTGAACAAGGTCAAGACAGGGAACAGTTCTGAGCAGTAATCACTATTGGCACTGCTGGACAAAGTGTTCAAGTAGCAAGATTAGTCTCTTCTGTGCTTTACTTGTACAGAGCAGCTACCCCACTTGCTAAGTGGCAGCCTCATTCCAAAAGCTGCTGTATTTCTGGGAATTGTTTATTAAGTACACATACACCCAGCCAAAACAGACTGCAGCCAGACTGAAAAACGGCAACTTTGGCATCAGACACCACGCAAAATTAAATAAGTCAGATGCTTAAATGACATCAAAGGAGCATCTTATCTGGAAAGCCACAGTTCTTTCTATTTCTGAGAAGCCAGTCACCGTTAGAAACCAAGGCCTGCAGCAATAACCCTCCAGCTTGAACCTTCATGGTTTTCCACTCCAACATATCTAAGGGCAGGAAGCAGTTAAGTTCCAATCAATTCTGGTCACCAACATAAAAAAAGTTCTTCCCCTTCTGATCCCAAACACAGCTGAAGTCTGGGCTGGCACCAAGAGGTTGAGGAGGTGAGAGTAGTAAGACTTACCGAAAGTAGACGATAGATGTAGCATGTCTTCTTTTGGCCATCCCGCCACACACGAGCCATGGCCTGTTCATCATTAGCTGGATTCCAGTCTGGGTCGAACATAACCAGTCTGTTAGCCCCGATCAAATTCAAACCACAGCCACCTGCTTTGCTGCTTAGCATGAAGATAAACTCAGGACTCTGTGGGGAAAGACACGCTTGGATTAAACTACAGAGGCAGCCATACTTTTAACCAAGCTTGTATTAAACTCAACGTGCAGCCATACTTTTACTCACAGCATTCAGAGCTGGCAGGAGAGCGGCTCACATGTGGTAGTTCTACTTACCGAGGCGCTGTTGAATCGCTCCACAACTTTTGCTCTCTTTTTAATGGACATGGTGCCATCCAGCCGGACATATAAATACCTGGAATACACAGCATTTACTACAATCAGACTGCTGCAACCTTTACACATCCTACATGAAAGAGAAATCTTTCACAAACAGCTTTGTAACAGTGGCCTGGGCTTTAGGAGCTTTTGCAGAGGGCCAGAGTTTTTCTGCTGGGTGACCCCAGTAGGCAAAGCACAAGCCACATTAGTTCCAATTCAGGAATGTCTGAGGCAAAAGACAGATCTCAAGTTCCTTCTGATACAAACAGTTTCTCTTACAGTGTAGGCTGCAAGTACAGTTTTGCAGGATTAAACAAATGAACCCAAAGACAAACCTTCTGTTCCTGCAGAGCTTTTCAAATAGGTCCAGTGTTTGAGTGTAGTTAGACACTAAAACCACCTTATCATTACTGGTGCTTTTTGTAACAGCAAGAATGTAGTCCAAAACCAGCATCTTCCCTGGATAAAAGGGAAAGAAAGAAGAAAGCTAGAGCAGAAGTTCCCAAATTCCAGACCTTGGAGGGTCAAAAGATGCTAAATACAGTCTCATGGTTGTTAGGCAGCACATTCATACTGTCGAGTTTCACAGTACCTGAAAGCTGGGGCTCCACAGATTTGGTGCTGTAGCCAGCAGGGAACAAGTCCAGGGCTCCCATAAAACCTTCTTCCTCTTCCACACACTTATCATGGATAAGAGCAGGGTCTGAAGAACAAACAGAGTTCAGACTGTGGTGTACATAAGGGAGACCCAAAAATTGCCCCCTAACAGTGCAAAACCCAGACCTATTACATGAGTAGAACAACTCACGATTGCAGAGCTTCTTCAAGGAAGTGATGGAAGAGAGAGACGACACACTGATTTTGCCCTCCTTCAGCTCCTCCACTGGCTTGGCTTGCTTTAGGAAGTTCTTGTACAGCTCAGCCTGCAGAGGTGTCAGTCTGAAACAGAACAAGAGCACTGCAGTCTCAGTCTGCAACCAAACCAACCCCATCTTTCCTCCTTCATAGAATCATAGCATAGTTAGGATTGGAAAGGACCATAAGATCATCTAGTTCCAACACCCCTGCCATGAGCAGGGACACCACACACTAAACTACACTAAACTATGTGCCCCAAGGCTCTGTCCACCCCGGCCTGGAACACCGCCAGAGTTGGAGCATTCACAACTTCCTTGGGCAACCTATTCCAGTGTCTCGCCACCCTCACTGTGAAGAACTTCTTCCTTAGATCTAATCTAAACTTCCCCTGTTTAAGTTTGGTCTCTTGAAGTCCAGGGCAGTGAGCTTGCTGCATGCTCTTCTCACTGTCCTGAGGATCTAAACTCAACCATCTCATGGTCGCTACACCCAAGGCTGCCCTGGAGCATCACATTCCCAACCAGACCCTCCCTGTTGGTGAGCACGAGGTCAAGCATGGCACCTCTCCTTGTTGGCTCCTCTATTACTTGCAAGAGAAAGTTGTCTTCCACACAATCAAGGAACCTCCTGGATTGCCTGTGCCGGGCCGTCCTGTCCCCCCAGCAGATATCAGGATGGTTGAAGTCCCCCATGAGGATAAGGGCCTGTGAACATGAGGCTGCTTCTATCTGTCTGTAGAGCACTTCATCCAGAGATTCCTCCTGGTCAGGTGGTCTGTAGCAGATCTCCACAGTAATGTCCCCTATTGCTGTTCTTCCTTTGACCCTGATCCATAAGCTCTCTGTTGACTCATCACCTATCCCCAGACAGAGTCCCATACTCGCCAGCCTATCACTGACATAAAGCGCAACTCCCCCTCCCCGTCTGCCTGGCCTGTCTTTTCTAAAGAGCCTGTAACCCTCCATTCCAACACTCCAGTCATAGGAACCATCCCACCATGTTTCTGTGATGCCAATGACATCATATCCCTCATCTATGGAAGTGTGTTCCTTTTAGCCCTATCGGTTTTTTTAACTACATCATGGACAGCCTAGAACTGCCTCTCCAAGGCTGGTGGTAGAGCACTGATATCTCAGCCCAGAGCTGGAAGAAAAGCTTGCAGGTACTCTGCATGGCCCAGTGCTCTACTGTACACAGATGCCCAGAGCACACTGGTTGGCTGGCAGAACAACCAGTTGTGGCTTGTTCATCCATGCTTCAGGAGGAAAAGCAACATATTGCCAGTGGCTACAATATCATTCCTAAAGGGAAGCAGTCACCACAAGAATTGGAGGGCTTTTTGCAATTTTTTAGTCCTTCCTGCTATTCCTCCCATTTCCCAGGCAGAGCACATGCTTTCTGGTACCTGCAGCACACCACCTGCTCGATCTTCACTGGCAGGTATTTAGATAGGATGTCTGAAGTTCTTCGGATTAAACACCTGAGGGAAGAGAAATTAAGATCAGATGCTTGGATGACATCAAATCCCTGTTTTATCACTATTATTCCTCATGAGTTCAACACACAGTCCCTTTGATATCTTATCTCCAAAAATTTGTGACAGTCCAACACACAGCAGAGGCCAGAAACTATCATCCACACAAAACTGTGCTAAGAGGTTCCATCAGCCCATGCTAATAAGCCCCATACAACCTGCTGTCTTTGTGAGGCTTCCAAATTTAGTTCATGAGATTTGGAGGAATCATGCATGATTTCACCTAACAGAGCCTGGTCCCTTACAGGAGAAACTCAGATCTTCCTCAGACTCCTTGTCAACTTGAGCTACAACAGATCAGTAGCATGGACAGCAAAGGAGGACAGGATTTAACCACCACACACTATGGACATAGCCCAAAGTACCAGCTGGCAGCTCCCCATGTAATAACTTGGTAGCCACTCTCAGCTAAGATGGGTTCATTGACCAGCTCAAGATTTCAAGCATATGCTTTGGGGCTCTAGAAATGCCCCATGGAGCAGTTCTATCACACTTTAGAAAAGATGGGATGGACTAAAAAAAGTGCTGAACTGAGTAACCAGAATAAGAAAGAGGTGCAGAAACCCAATTCTGCCAGGAAACATCAAAAATATATTACGAAATCTACAGGAGAAAAACAGCAGGGATATATGACAGCCCCCAAATCTGTCAAAGGCTGTTAGAGAAAAGAATAATCTGGTCTCCAAACCCATAAGCAGTAGGATGAAAAGTAACAGGCTTAAACTGCAGTAAGGAAGATTTATATTACACATTAAGAGCATTTTCTAACTGCAAAGACAGTGATGCCCTGAAAAAGGCATCCTGGGGAATTTGTAAGGTCTTTAGTGCTGGGTGGGGGCTAAGTAAGGGACAGTTTAGGCCTAACAACTTCTACCTTAGGACAGCAAGATGGATTAGACATCTTTTCCAGGGCCCTTCCAGCCTTGCACCTATGATTCCACATGTCTTTGCATCACTATCTCATTTGTAATTCTTACCAAATCCAACAGATTCACCTGCTACTATTTACATGCTTCACCTCCCTATTTGTCTATCGTGGCTGATGCACAACAATGCAAGGGACAGTCCTCAACACAGACAGGTATAACTATTCCTGAAAACACTTTTACACCTCTTTTCCATCAACTGTAACAAGAAATAAATGCATCTCAAGAAGGAACAAGCTCTTCTCCTCCCAACTTTTCCTTTCTCTTGGGCTTCTGCAAGCAGACCTGAGTCAAGGTCAGGGCTGTCTCTATAGAGAGTCTGTATGTAGTGTGAAATTCAATTTACCATGACTATGAACTGCAGAATTCTATTTGTGATGGTTGCAAAAGATCAGATTAAAAAAGAAAAAAAAAAAAAAAGACACACTAGCAATGCTGAGAATTCAAGAGAGTCTCTAGTAAGAGTTCTTTGAGATAAGCAATTGCCAGCAGATGTGGATAAATTGGTTGTATCCATGCATAGAAAAAGAAACCAGATTTAAACATACACCAAAAAAATCAACCAGAGAGAAATAAGACAGCATTTTACATCCCAGAGGTGCTTCTAGGGGATCAAAAGTCACATCTCTGATACTAGAAGTCTAATCCCATTATCCCTACAGAGTCAACACAGCTATGAAAGTGTGAGCTGGACTCTTTCGTGACTTGGGCAATCAACACTAGAACCGAGTGACATTCCTCATACTCATTCTGTCTGCCACTCAACATCTGGGCTGGACGGATCTCAAGTCTGACTCAGCCTATACTGTAGTTCCATTGACACAAATAAAAGGATGCTGCCTGGCTATTCAGATCCCAGGAGAAAACAGAAACATAACAGTCAATGATTCAGTACCTGAGCACATTTGCTTGGGGGTGACTGCAGCTCCCTGTGCCATTTCAGTGTGCTGTTTTTCAGACTAAAGCTACACGCTGTGTAGATTTCTTTGGTGATAAATACTTGCACAATCACTTGCTGAACAGAAGTAACTGGCAAGAGAATCCATTACAGCTACAACTGTAATTTGGAAAGATACCAGTGTACACCAAGGGTTTATGCAAAAGAGAAGAGGGATGAAGTTCACCTGTTCACAATACTGATCAGCTCTTTAAGCCTCTCTTCTCCTTTGTGTCTCTCAGCTTCACTTGCATCCGCATCTCTGCCTTTCAAGATTGGAATTTCAAAATGTCTTTTAAATTCCTGTGCAGTCCCTGTATGAAACAGAAGTGAAAAGATGACAACTACTACTAACTGTTGATTAGTACCCCACAGCCCCAGTTATCACACCACAAGCACAGGACCCAGCAGATAAAACAAACTCTCGCCCCATCAGCACAATTTGTTTTCCTTTCTAGCCAGGAAAGACTCAAATAAGACAGACAAACCAGTACAGCAGAAATCCAGTTCATATTCCAGCAACAATGCACTGCCAAAGATCACACAATTTTAGTTAAATCTGAGTCCGGTCAGGCACACACTGGTTTTGCTCACATTCCAGCTATACTGTTACTCCCAGATTTTGTCCTTGCAAACAACAGCACAGGCATTATGTGTGCCTGTTCCAAAATTATCTGTAATCAGTTGCTTATTACTGCTCACAGGCTGGGAAAAAATTACTACTGCATGCATGCAGCTTTGCTGGCAGGAGTTAGTGCTAATCTCACCTCAGAAAGAACAAACTGGAAGTACTGAGACTTGTCTTGCCCAAAGTACAGGTCAAGGGGGGCAGAGGAGACCACACCAGCTCCCTGTAATAACTACCCAAAATTGAAGTGCATGGAAAAAACAGATGTAGAACATCTACCACCCCATTCCATCCTTTACTTGAGAAATCCAGGGGGCAGAACAGCTGAACAGAAAATGATACGTCCCAAATGCTGCTTGTAAGACTAAGAATCTGACGAATGGTGTTTAACTGGAGTTGTGCATGCACTAGAATTAATGAGAAGCCTCTTGGACTGGATGCCCAATAATCCAAGACAAACATGGGTGACAAATTACAGCAACAAGGAAATGATTTACAGATTGGCTTGTTTTCATTCCTTGACAGAAAACATGACCTCTCTTGACAAAAACAAGCTGTTCCACACTGTAAAGAAGCAGACCTGCTCCTAATCTAGTGATGTAGGAGAGGATGCAAAGACTACTTTGCTTTTAAAATTAAAAGAGTTTGGAGACATAAGCAGAGCATAGGAACTAAAGACAGAATATATCAGTCTGCTGCCAGCAATTATAGGTGGTGTTTGATCCTGAAAACTCACATTCATCAGTATCTCTCCTTTAGACACTTTTCTCTCAGACGAAGTTAACCCTATATTCACATACCTCCATTGCTTTAAAAATCAAGAGCGGTCTTAACTCCAAATGCTAGACATCACCCTTAGCTTTCCCTGATTATCTGAAAGTGGGATGGCTGACTGCCAAATTCAGGCTTTGCTGCCTAGCTCTGACACAAGGTACACCATTCCACCTTGCACCGGTCACTTCAGCTTCCAGTTGGATGTAAGATACATACAATGGCTAGAAAAGGGGACCCTCATCTAGACTTTCCAGATACAAGCTGAAGGAGAATAAGTCTCCAACCTGTACACGACCTTTCCTCTCAGGCATGGCTTGGTTGCTGCCTTTGCTGGCACTGACAGCTAGGGGAGGCCTCACCAGCAACTCCCCCCTCCCTCCTGTCTCTCACACATTCACTTCTTACCCAGGATGCCAGAATTGACAAAGTGCACTAGGCTGAAGTATTCAAGCAGGTCGTTCTGAATGGGGGTGCCTGAGATAAGGACTCGTCGAGGTGTATTTAAGCTGTTGAGAGCTTGGTATGTTTGGTTTTCAGAGTTCTTCAGTCTATGGCCCTTTGAAAAGAAATTAAAAAAAAAAAAAAAAAAAAAAGGAATGAAGCTGATAAATCCAGTGGCCCTGATAAGAAGCAGCTTGGACATCTTCATCAACACTGCTATCTTGTAATCTCTCATAAAGCATCTCACCACTTTTCCCATTCCTGGTAGTGGACTAAGTGTCATATGTGTATTCAGCTGTTACACTCGTGAGGATGCTTGCTTGCTCTTTTTAAGCTCCTTTCGGCAGTGTTCCAGCAAATACAAAACCAAACCACTGGGTGGCACCGCTGTGTAACAAATCCCCTCTATCGGGCAGCAGAGGAGGCCTCAGGAGCGGCTGAGGCCCCCGCTTTGATCTCTTCAAGGAGGCAGAGGGCATTTGTTTTATTTTGTCCTTCAGAGCATCTCTGGCTCTCACTACCTTTAACCACATATACAGAACGATAAATGAAAAAACAACTCCTTTCACATGGCTGAAATGGAGAGCACAGGCTTGGCAAAGCCAGTGCTCAAAGCAGGGAGTCAAGCCAGGTCTGTCTCCTCTTGAACAAGCAGCACATGAGGTAACTCCTCAGCCAGCTTTCCTACCTCTGCCCTAGGCAGGAGACTTCAGAGAGGGGAAGAGGGTCCTGCCATGGGAGTGCCCTTCAAACTCCCCCCACAAGCACAGAATAACACAGCCAGATAAAATGGCTGACAGCAGCGAGCACTGCACACGAGCATGCTGAATCACAGAATCATTTAGGTTGGGAGACCTCAGGTGCCTCCAGTGCAACCTCTTGCTTAAAACAGAGACAAGTTAAAAATTAGTGGGCTGAACTCAGGGTCAGGTCAAACAGAAAGTAGTTCTCACTTTAGAACAGACAGACAGAAACAAATGAAAACCTGATTTGGTGATCTGTGAGCCAGGGCACTCCCATCCCAACAGCGTAAAGCCTCTTTCAGAGTCAGAGACAGGCAGTGGATGTCCCTTCTGCTACGTATTTCACACTGAGAGGGCTCTAAGTAGGTTCTCCCACCCTGCCAGGGTTCTACAAAGCAGCCACAGTTACTACCACTTTGATTTTAACCCTATCTCAGCTCCTGAAAATACCCTCTCTTGTTTTGGCTTACTCAGTATGGATGAGCCAGTTACCCAGAGCCTCTCAAACACAAGAATGGGTGCTGTCCACAGCTAAACCCTGTTTCCAGCTGCCCTTCCCTCTCTCAAGAAAGCAGTCTTTTTTGCCCAGATATGAATAAAACATCAGGAAAAGATCCCCCTGTACCTCATCACATATAACCAGCCCAACAGTGCCCTTCTGCAATGCCTCAGCGTGGAGCCGGAAGGTCTCATAGGAGATGATCAGGATGGGTGAAGGCACTCGCAGGCCACGCTGGTTCATAAAGCCAACTGCAGATGGAAAGGGTAAAAAGAAAACAGGAGGGATGAGGAAATCTAATAGAAAAGAGTTCAAGTTCTCTAGTCAAAACTTCTGCCTTAACAGTATCCCTTTGACCCACATATACCCATATTCCTTTCCCCGTAATTGTCCCCATCTCCATTCCCCACCTCTGCCCAACCCTTTCTTTGGCTGGAGCAGAGCAGAAGCACAGGGACCTCCCTAACTTAAGCGCATGATTAGATTCAGATTATTCCAAAAGATCAACTATTACCTAACATGTAAAGGCCTGATCTTAACATGTTAGTGGAGAGACTTTTGTCAGTCTCCAGAGCTCTAATCAGCTGCTGTAGGCTTCTTCCAATGCAAGATTTTGACCTAAGACAGCCAACCACACCATTTGCAAGCATTTCTGTACCTAGTTTACGGTCAATCTCTTCTTTGGAGCCTCCATCAATGGCCAGTGGCTGGATCCTTCCCCCCAGCCATTTCTCTACTTCATTGTACCAGTTTCTCACCAGGCTGGAGGGAGACACCACCATGGCTTTCTCTATTTCAGGCTTACAATCTGGACTTTGTCGGAGAAGTGTCCACATGAGTGTGATGCACTGCAGGGTTTTGCCCAGTCCCATTTCATCTGCCATGATACAGCCATGGCTCCCAGGGATGCGCCGGCTTGTCACACAGTCCCAGAGGAATTTCACTCCCTGCCAAAAAATTGTTCTCTCAGAGTGGGATGGGGACATCAGCAAAATGTCAACTTCATTACAGCTTCATTACCACAATGCATAGAACTAATACTACAACAAACAGCGAATCTGTGCAGCACATCTCTGGGGACATGCTGTGTTCTAATGAGACAGAGGGAAATCTCTCGAGACACAGCTAAAATGCAGGCACATCTGGTTTGGAACAACATTACTGGTGCCAACATGTACCTTATAACATGCATACAGTCTTACTACATTTTAGCTGTACAATTATAACCAGCTTCCTGACACGAATTCCCAGAAATTTCTACCCTTGGCTGCACTAGATAGGCCCAGGCCATCAGCTAACCTGCATCAATCACTGCAAAGAAGTTGATCATCTTAACAACACCCAATTAGATAGTTCTAAGAACACAGAATCAGAGCGAGCAGAATTGCTTCTGCTGCCTGATTAACTCCCAGAATACCCTCAGCAGCCTTCATCGCCTCTGTCTAGAAGCACAATGACTCACCTGGAAACTCAAAGTCCAAAGCCGATTTAGCTTCAGAGAAGACACAGGGCTGAGCCCACATCACATGGTAGAAGAGCTTAGCCCTGCATTAGGCTCTGACACGTCACCAAGGCAGATAAAAGAGGAAAAATAAAACCAAACAGACGGACTCTGTAAAATGTTCCTCTATCATGTGATGACAGTCAGAAAAGAAATGGGACACTGCGCTGGGAACATACAATCTCCCTGCTTTGTGTCAACAGAGCAGGGAGTGAGGGACACAACTTAAACACACCTGGATGGAGTCACCCCTCTGTGCTTCACTATTTAGGACTGGAAGACTTAGCGCCTTCACTTGCACTTTCAAGCCTTTTTCTTTCTCTGGCCCTTAACAGCAGCTTAATGAAGTTTATTTAAGCCAGTTGAACAATTAAAAAACACATTACTGACTAAAAGAGTGCATTTGGCTGGGGATCAAGTTAGGTGACCTCCCAGCAACTGGGCAAAAGACATGACAAAGAGCAAGGCTGTACAACAGCCTGGGAGCATCACCTGAATAAAGCAGCACAGAAATCCTAGCAGGCAGAGACTCATTCATCAGACTACAACAGAGACTGCTTTATGAGCGGTATCTAGCTGTCAAAAAACAGACAGTGTGCCTAGGACACCAACATAACTATTGTTACTTGACAAGAGCACCAGCAGGCAGTATCTTACCCAAAACCAGAGTGCCTCCAGCTATGTAGCCAGAGATGAGCACTACACTGGGTCACAGGTTCAGTGCCAACTCTGAGATAAAAGTACAAGCTAGGAGCAGCCTACAGCACTCTCAGAGCCATCTGAAGATCTCCCATGCAGGGACACATCCAGCTTGACCTGCTTAGCCTGCAAGATCAGCAATTACAGTTTCCATCTGTGCTGCCTCTAGGCTTAAATAATATACTGCATCTGTGATGAACTTCAAACTGTCCAGATACCTACATTAGATATTTGTAAGTTAGTACCTACTGTTCCAATATTGTGATGTTATATATATTTACGACATGAAATGTTTTTCAGCACTCTCCACTGGTGAATTCCATGTCTACGCAGGTCACAGACAGCTCACACCTACAAAGGGTAGTCTCAGAATAATATACAA